ACATGTTTCAAAACGAATGTTGAGTTTTATGTTTTTAAGATGATTATGCTGTTATTATAGTAAGAAAAATAAAACTTGACAGAAAATAGATTAATAATATGAAAAAAATGAAAGTAGAAACTAAAGTTAATTTCTAACAGCATTGTTAGAAGAGTCTGAAATTACATGTACTTTTTTGGTCCTTAACCCAACCCATATCAAATACACTGGTACATAATGATAACAACATTTATAGATCAACTGTACAAGATATATATCCCAGTTTTAAAAAAAAAAACTATGCCATATTCTATTATACATAACAAAAATAACATTGCCCCATATTCATAACTGTAAATTATCTGTCTTTAATATTTAACATTGAATTCGATACAGTCGTTATCAAACAGGGTTATTTTAACACCTTGTACAAAGCATAATAGATTAGACATAGAATATAAAAGTGAAAATGAAGACTTTTTATGATAACGATAATTAAGATCAAACATAGGCCTAAAATATTTACCATACATCATCTAGAGTTTGTAGTGCCATTGTTCATTTGGTCAGAAATTGAAAATTATTTTTTTGATATCGTATATTATATCAAAAACTTTTGATGAAAATGTATGATATATCTTTGTATAAGTCGTTAAATCAGGGTGTTAAAAATATAAAAATAGCCTAAATTATTTAAATATTGCTGAATAATAGCCTAAATTTGTGTTAGAACTATGTTTATGACCATCTGCTGAATATATATGATTTAGATTGGAAAAAAATGTATTTTTCGGTCACAGTTTTAAGACCTATTTGAACATGAAGTCATTGTTATAGATTTATATAATGTTTGCAACTTTGAATTTGATTTTTTGGATATGAATCAAACATTTTTCGGTAAAATTTTGTTTCCATGAAAATCATCTTAAGAATTTGGGGTATATGTCAATGAGACAGCAACCCATTGACAGAAATAACAAATAGACATCAACATCTCAATGATGTACACCACATTGACAGAAATAAGAAATAGACATCAACCTCTCAATGATGTACACCCCATTGACAGAAATAAGAAATAGACATCAACCTCGCAATGATGTACACCCCATTGACAGAAATAACAAATAGACATCAACCTCTCAATGATGTACACCCCACTGACCGAAATAAGAAATAGACATCAACCTCTCAATGATGTACACCCCACTGACAAAAATAACAAATAGACATCAACTTCTCAATGATGTTGACAGAAATAACAAATAGACATCAACCTCTCAATGATGTTGACAGAAATAACAAATAGACATCAACCTCTCAATGATGTACACCCCACTGACAGAAATAAGAAATAGACATCAACCTCTCAATGATGTACACCCCACTGACAGAAATAACAAATAGACATCAACCTCTCAATGATGTTGACAGAAATAACAAATAGACATCAACCTCTCAATGATGTACACCCGACTGACAGAAATAAGAAATAGACATCAATCTCTCAATGATGTACACCCCACTGACAGAAATAAGAAATAGACATTAACCTCTCAATGATGTACACCCCACTGACAGAAATAACAAATAGACATCAACCTTTCAATGATGTACACCCCACTGACAGAAATAACAAATAAACATCAACCTCTCAATGATGTACACCCACTCAGGCCCACTGACAGAAATAACAAATAGACATGACGTTACCTCTCAATGATTTACACCCCACTGAGAGAAATAACAAATAAACATCAACCTCTCAATGATGTACACTCCACTCAGGCCCACTGACAGAAATAACAAATAGACATGACAACCTCTCAATGATGTACACCCCACTGACAGAAATAACAAATAGACATGACAACCTCTCAATGATGTACACCCCACTGACAGAAGTACCAAATAGACATCAACCTCTCAAGGATGTACACCCCACTGACAGAAATAAAAAATAGACATCAACCTCTCAATGATGTACACCCGACTGACAGAAATAACAAATAGACATGACAACCTCTCAATGATGTACACCCCACTGACAGAAATAACAAATAGACATGACAAACTCTCAATGATGTACACCCCACTGACAGAAATAACAAATAGACATCAACCTCTCAAGGATGTACACCCGAATGACAGAAATAACAAAAAGACATCAACCTCTCAATGATGTACACCCGACTGACAGAAATAACAAATAGACATGACAACCTCTCAATGATGTACACCCCACTGACAGAAATAACAAATAGACATCAACCTCTCAATGATGTACACCCCACATTTCCTTTTATTCATACTTAAAGTTAAGATATCAAAAGTAAATGTTAATAAAAATATGTGAATTAATTCTCTAGAAAATTAGCTAATTTGTAGATATTTGCAAGAGACAGCAATGAAAGCTGTTTTTGTCGTTCAGCTTTTTAAAAATCTTGTTAATCAATAAAACTTGCAGAAGTTTTAAATAAATTTTAAGCATCCACAAATGACTTGTGATATCATCTATAAAGTAGAACAAGTGGTCAATCAGTACTTTTGTTACAACCTTCAGTTCAGTCATGGTATTACAAGATACTTGATGCATTCATCATTTGGGTGGATTAAGATAAAACAAGATTAGGTTTTAAAAACATACAGATTAAGGCCTAGCATGAATTACTTAGTATTTTAACACTTTAGATGCTATCATAAACTGATGTATTAATGTTTTGAATAGTTTAGAGCAATTTGTTTGTAGTTAATACACTTGTTTTTGATTTATAATGGTAAAAATGTTTATAGATTCCTCGTGTTACACAACACCTCCTTGACCAAAATGTGTAATGTGTTTTCGAGGAAATTCATGTCACAAATTTTTATAATCATCTCAGGAAAATATTTAGGATGCATATATGGAAACTAGTTTCTGACAACTGGATCCTGGTCTCATAAACAGATATCTCTATTAATGTAAGAATTGTTTTAAGAGTTGTCTCCCATTAAGCAGGTTTAAACATTAAAATTGTATTTTTCTTTATATAAAGATATTGAAACTACAAACCCTGAAATAGTCGGTATTGTATTGTTATAGACTTTTTTGACATATTTCCCCCTGGAAATAAATTAATTTTTGGCTCAAAATAATAAAAAAATCTCTAAAAACACACAGCTTTCTGATATTTATTTGATACAACTCAGCTATACATGAGGAACTTCTGTAAGACGAAACAAATATAGAAACAAATATACGTTGGCAATTAAACAAATAAAGACAATAAGATTTTAATTTTTGAGTGACAATATTGACATTATCGTGATAAATCTTGCAATAGAAATGAACAGTTCTGCAGACTGTAACTTACAATCTATTTTATTGGTTAGATTTTTATTCAATAAAGATACCAAGTTCAACTCGATCAAGAAAATTTCCGTCATAAAAACACTATTGGAAAAGCAGATTTGTAATTTACTGTATTCGGCTTTAAAATTAATGTTCAATAAGATAAATATTAGCAAACAAATAACTTTTATCATAAGGGGGCTTCACCAATAACTTTGAAAAGATTTATAAATTTACGCACAAGAATCGTGGTAAATAAAGATATATTAAAAAGGTTTTAGTTATAACTCACAGTGCACTCTTGTTAAGATTTTTAAAATGATTAATATATTAATAGATTTATTTCTGATTTAGACCCTTTAACAACCGAATTATCTTGAATTAAATATTTGTCCTTTACTTGTAAATCATTAAATATTATCTCTTATTTTACGTGCAATTCGTAGATACAATTGTACAATTTTATTATTAGTTACGACACCCATGTTAATTTTCTCACTGTTGGCACAAAGAACAACTATCATAGACTTGAAAATTAAACTCTTATCAAGCTATAAATTACCGTTAATCAGATATGGGCAAATATTCTTCTTTGGTTAACTTGAGAATGTGCAGTACTTTAAATATACAAATAAGCCTTGTGGCTCCATAAGTTGACGCAATTGTAAAATGTTTTGTCCGTTACAGAATTTGGAATGATTGTTTTAATATATTAATGTGTTTTAAGTCAGTAAAGTTAAAACAAAAATTTATTTGTTTTGTTCCTTTGTATGATATATATAAAGAAATGTAGGTGTAAAAAGGTCATGATCATTTAACCATACTAGGCTTTGATACAAAATAAATTGCAATGACTTTAGACCTTGTATTATGTAATAATGAAATGTATTTATACTATTGACTGTAATTATTTTTCATTCCAACATGGTGCAAGGACAAACACATGATAAAGTTTATGTAAACACTGATATTTTCAGTTGAATTACTAAACGTGTTGTCTATTGAGGATTGAGAAAAATAAAATAGGGAGTTAAGAATGGACGGGAAAGATTTAGAGATTCTTTTACATATTTTGACTATACAATGCAATTCATACTTCAAATTGATTGAAGGTAATAAAAAGAGAAACTCATCGAAAAATATTATTGTATTTTCTTTTGATATTGACCGTATGTTGAATATTTACTTCTTGGAAAACAGTAAAAGGGGTAGAGATTGGTTAAAAATTATAAAAAGTTACCAGTCACAACTAAACTTGTAGTGAGAAAGATATTATTATACATTTGTACATTGTTTACTGAAACATCCTCACCTTCCAAAAACCCAAAACTGCTAATTTTACTGAAAAAGAGAGGTTTAAATATTTCGAGACACACAAAATTATAAATCTGTATTAAAGATTGAGCTGATAATTTTATTCATATTTAAATTATCAGTGAAAACACCAGGTTGGATGCATCCTTCCCTTCCCTCCCCAACCTGAAAACCAAAAATACCATTAAAGACTACTTAAGTTGAGATTCAGATTGAAGTTTGATTATTAAAATCAAAGCTTCATGTACCTAAAAACCTCCCTCCTCCTTGAGAGAGGTCCTAGCTACGGGCCTGGTGCAGAAACTTTATAATATACCTCAAAGATTGTCCTAAATAGTTGCTATTGATAATTTGATACATTTTCTTTCATTTTCAGGTCATATCACAATTATTTAAGAATAACCAGAATTCTTAAATGTCTTGGAGAACTTGGATATGAACACATGAAGGTCAGATTTCTAGAATTTGTTATAGAAGAAGCATTAGAGAAGAAAACATTGAAAAACTGTTATGAGAGCTGTAAAGACTATTGGGTAGAGACATTACGAGCTGACGATGAAAGAAAGAGACTTCAAGATTACATGAGAAAAGTTGAAGAAGGTTATGAATCAGGTGATGACAAGTATGGTCACCATAGTAACAAGGCAGACCACAGCAACATGTCAAATTTAGTATCTACCCATAATGATGTTGATATGGACGATGACTCACAAGAAATGAAGCATTATGCAAAGGAAGCTGAGGAAGGATCAGAAAATGTACCAACGCTTGAAAGTCAGATGTCACTAGATAATATTGTTGATGAAGGAAAATCTAATGTGGACAATAAATGTGATGAAGGTGGTCAAATCCATGATTCAGATGTAATGGACACTGAACAGGGACAAAAACAAGAAGAGAATTCGGGAAAGGAGCAAAATAAAGAAATAGGGCAAAATCCAGAGAAGAATTCAGAAACAGAAACCAATAAAGACTTGTCGACGTCACAAGCAAAAAGTAATGCACAAACAGACAGTCAAGACACACAATCATATAGTTTACAGAATGTCTAATGTATTCATGTGTAACCTTAAACCTATTCAATAGTTGTGATATTTTCATATGTGTTACAAAAAAAGGGCAAAGCTACAAAAAATTATGGAATTTAAATATTTCTAGTAATTATAATTCTGGTTTGTGGATAGGTGTTATTATACTCCCACGCAACAAAGTTGTGTAGGATATAATGTTTTTTTTACCTGTCTGTCAGTCATGTTCTTGTCACTGCAAAAACCATGAAACTTTGAAGATAATAAGAACATACTATGTAGATGTTCATATTGACAGAAAATTATGAATCCATTTTTTTCTTGGAGTTATGGCCCTTTGAACTTAAGAATTTTGGCCTAAATATACTTTTATAACATCTTGTCATCAAAACTCCTCTCAAACCACACAACAGAATTTCATGTAACTTTCTAGATAATAAGGAGATACTATGTAGATGTGCATATCGACAGGAAATTATAATTCATTGTTTTTGCTAGGGGTTATGCCCCTTTGAACTTAAAATTTTGCCATGATATACTACAGCAATGGTTTGTCAGCGCAACTTCTCTGAACCAGTAGATATTTAGGACATATTATGTAGATGTGCATATGGACAGAAAATTATGATTCAATTTTTATACGGCCGCAAAAATTTTTTTGCGTCATATAATGCTATGATGTCGTCTTTGTTCAAAGACACATTTGGTTTCCTGACAATAACTTTAGTTAAAGTGAATGGATCTCTATGAATTTTTACCAGAAGGTTCAATACCACAAAAGGAAGGTTTGGATTGATTTTGGGGGTGATGGTACCAACAGTTTAGGATTTAGGGGCCAAAAACAAGCATTTTTGTAGTTTTGGGGTTTTATTCATTAAAAAAGGGGGGATTTTCCAGTTTTCAGACAATAACTCAAAAAAAATTTCACCAATTTGCATGAAACTTTTGTAAATTGTTCATATATATTGATGTGAGCTCTTTCGTTTTTTATAAATTTCAGATTTACCGTTTCCGAGTTTTGGGGTTTTATTCATTAAAAAAGGGGGGATTTTCCAGTTTTCAGACAATAACTCAAAAACAATTTCACCAATTTGCAAGAAACTTTGATGAATTGTTTATTTCTATCGACATGTGCTCCCTTTTGATTTTTATAAAATTCAGAATATATATTTATGGGGTTTTATTCATTACAAAAAGGGGGATTTTCCAGTTTTCGGACAATAACTCAAAAATACTTTGAGCATTTTTTTGAGACTTTGGTAAATTGTTTATATCTATTTTTGTAAGCTCCCTTTTGATTTTTATAAATTTTCCATTTTACATTTCAGAGTTATAAGATTTTATTTGTTTATAGTCTGACAACAGATTTACTAAGTATTGCGCAATAGCACAGTGTATTGCACAACAGCAAGAAATCTTTCATATAACCAATTTCAAGTTCTTTGACTACATTTATTCAGAAACCTATAATATATCAAATATTTAATTACAATTCCAATTCAGACCTGTATCAAGCTTGAATATTGTGTCCATTTTTGCCCCAACTGTTCAGGGTTGGACCTCTGCGGGCGTATCCAGCTGCACTCAGCGAAGCAGTTTATTCTAATACTGTATGCAAATAGTCAGCTATATTTGGTGTATGGAAATATTTTAAGATGTACATGTCAGTCTGGTCAGGTTTTATTTGACCTAGACCTCATTTTCACGGTTCATTGCTTATGTTAAGTTTTTGTGTTTTGGTCTGTTTTTCTTAAACTTTAAGCAATAGGTCAACTATATTTGGTGTATGGAATGATTGTAAGGTGTACATGTCTGTCTGGCAGGTTCATCTGACCTTGACTTCATTTTCATGGTTCATTGGTCAATATAGAATTTCCATGGTTTGGTCTGTTTCTTTTATACTATAAGCAATAGGTCATCTATATTCTGTGTATGGAATGATTGTATTAAAGGTGTACATGTATTTCTGGCTTGGTTTATCTGACCTTGACCTCATTTTCTTGGATCATAAATGTTAAATGTGATACTTGTAGTAAAACTTTATATGTAGGACTATCAACATAAAATCAATGGTCAGTATAGTAGGCAAGACATTTCAGTGTGTGCACTCTTGTTGTTAAGGCATTTTTAGTTTATAATGAAAATAATGTTAATATTAGTAAATATATGGAATGTCTACAATACTTTTGTATTAAAAATCCAAAGTCATATATATATATAAATATATATACAAAATATTACACAGAAATAAACTAATAAAATGATGTTTCAAAATGTTACAGAGGTAGTCCGAAGTTACCCCAAGTAATGGTATGATATTATGAATTTTAAAAGCTATTGTTTATGTAAAACAACCAATTTTTGCAAGCGATTTACTTTTTTTGCAACTTTCCATTATTGTTGGGTTATTGCTTGAACTAGGTTGAAATTAAATTGTTGATGAATATGTATGGCTGTTGATTTTTGTAATAAAAAGAAAGCACTTTATTCTCTGTTTGCTGATTCTCGAGTCTTTCAGATATGTTTTGAGATGATTGTCTGGCAATAGATGATAATGTTTTAGGGTGACTGTTTACCACAATTTTTGTTTTCATTTATTGGTTATTCAGTATATTAGAAGAAGAAAAAAATCCTGCTTTGTAAAAATAACAAGATGTGGTAGGATCAGCCAATGAGACAACTTTAAGCCTTCACAATTAATTTTTTTATCTGAATGAAAAGCGCTATGTATTTTTTGCATGTTAATGGTTAATACAAATTCTTGATCAAATGCTTGTGATAAATGAGTTATTTTCCTTTATTTTTCAGGTAGTAGGTTGTTTTTGATTTGTTTTTCTTTTATGTAAAATATTTTTCATAGAGAAATCAAAAGTTGGATGCTGATTTATCTGAGTTGATTTTCTACAATAAACCCATTCAGAATTCCTGGTTTATTAAAAAAGCACAAAAATCAATTCACTTGGTATGAACTCTCAGTCTGGTTGTCAAAGAAAAGATTTCATTTTACAGTATGGTTGTCAAAGAAAAGATTTCATTTTACAGTAACCATACCATTGACAAGAGCAACATTCATATTGTCTGTACTAATTATACCCCCGCTTTAAAAAAGGGGGGTATACTGGTTTACCTCTGTCTGTCCTTCCATCAGTCCATCCGCCAGTCCGTCAGTCCATCCGTCCGTCCCATGAATATTTTCGTCGCAATTTTCTCTGGAACTACCTGACAAGGATTTCTGAAATTTGGTTTCAGGGTTTATATAAGTAAGTTACACCGTGTGATGCGTTTTCAGATTCATCACTCATCAACTTCCTGTTTACCGAACACTTGTATTATTTTACACATGATAGCCAAGTTGAAAATTTTCGTCACATTTTTCTCAGGAACTACTTGACAAGGATTTCTGAAATTTGGTTTCAGGGTTTATATAAGTAAATTACACCGTGTGATGCGTTTTCAGATTCATCACTCAACAATTTCCTGTTTACCGAAATATTTCGGCGGGGGTATCATCAGTGAGCAGTAGCTCACAGTTTTACTTGTTTAAAGATGGGAGTGAAAACATTCTCATTGCTGTCTACATAATGTATGAGTCAGGACATTCCCACTACAGTATACATAATGTATGAACCAGGACATTCTAAACGTAGTAACCATAATGTATGAATGATGACCCTCCGACTGCAGTATACATAATGTTTGAGTCAGGACATTCCAAGTGCAGTATACATACTGTATGAGTCAGGACATTCCGACTGCAGTATACATACTGCATGAGTCAGTACATTTCGACAGCAGCATACATACTGTATGAGTCAGGACATTCCGACTGCAGTATACATAATGCAGGAGTCAGGACGTTTCAACTGCAACATACATACTGTAGGAGTCAGGACATTTCGACTGCAGTATACATAATGCAGGAGTCGGGACATTCTCACTGGTCTACATAATGTAGGAGTCAGGACATTCACACAGCAGTCTACATAAGGTATGAATAGGGACATTCTCACTGCAGTCTACATAAGGGAGCTACCATTTGATTTTTATGGGGGGGCTAGGATGAAAAATTTTGTCCTGCATTTTTTTTTTTAGTTGTAATCTCTGTCCTGCCTTTTTATTTTTCACTCTATCTGGTCCTGCATTTTTTTTTAAAGTTTATCCTGACTTTTTTTTACCTAAATTGACATCCTGACTTTTTTTTTGCAAATGTCTCATCCTCCCTTTTTTTTAACTCAAAACTCCTGTCGTTCCTATTTTTTTCAAATTTCATCCTAGCAGCCCCCCCCCCCCCCCCCCCCCCCCCATAAAAATCAAATGGTAGCTCCCTAAGGTACAAGTAAATTAACATTCTCACTGCAGTCTACGTTCAGTATGCGTCGGTATTTCCTCTGCTGTCTACATGAGGTATGAGTCAGGGCGTTCTCTCTGCAGTCTACATAAGGCATGAGTAGGGAAATTCTCCTTGCAGTCTACATAAAGTATGCATCCGCATTTCCACTGCAGTCTACATAAGGTATGAGTAGAGACATTCTCACTTACTTCTCCATTAGGTATGATACTGCAGATTACATAAGGTATGAGTAGGAACCTCTAATTGCAGTCTACATTAAGTATGCGTGATCATTCCCACTTCTCTATACATAAGGTATGAATAGGGACGTTATCACTGCAGTGCACATTAAGTATGCATCAGTATTCCCAATGCAGTCTACATAAGGTATGAATAGGGACATTATCACTGCAGTGCACATTAAGTATGCATCAGTATTCCCACTGCAGTCTACATAAGGTATAATTAGGGACTCACTGCATGCAGTCTACATATGAATAGGGACATTTTCACTGCAGTCTACTTTAAGTATGCGTCCGCATTTCCACTGCAGTCTACATAAAGTACGAGTAGGGACATTCTCACTGCAGTCTACATTAAGTATGCGTCCGCATTTCCACTGTAGTCTACATAAAGTATGAGTAGGAACATTCTCACTTACTTCTTCATTAGGTATGATACTGCAGATTACAGTCTATACATAAGGTATGAATAGGGACGTTCTCACTGCAGTGTACATTAAATATGCGTCAGTATTACCACTGCAGTCTACATAAGGTATAAATAGGGACGTTCTCACTGCAGTGCACATTAAATATGCGTCAGTATTACCACTGCAGTCTACATAAGGTATAAATAGGGACATTCTCACTGTAGTGCACATTAAATATGCGTCAGTATTACCACTGCAGTCTACATAAGGTATAAATAAGGACATTCTCACTGCAGTCTACATTAAGTATGCGTCCGCATTTCCACTGCAGTCTACATAAGGTATGAGTCGGGACAATCCACTCACTTTTTCATAAGGTGTGATACTGCAGATTACATAAGGTATGAATAGGAACCTCTCATTGCAGTCTACATTAAGTATGCGTGCTCATTCCCACTGCTCTATACAAAAGGTATAATTAGGGACATTCTCACTGCAGTGCACATTAAGTTTGCGTCAGTATTCCCACTGCAGTCTACATTAAATATAATTAGGGACATTCTCACTGCATTCAACATAAGGTATGAAAAGGAGCATTCTCACTGCAGAATACATTAAGTATGCGTCCGCATTTCCACTGCAGTCTACATGAGGTATGAGAAGGAACATTCTCACTGCAGTCTTCATTAAGTGCAAGTATGCGTCGACATACCCACTGCTGCGTGTATACATAAGGTATGAGTTAAGATATTCTCACTGCAGTCTTCATAAGACTGATACTGCAGTCTACTTAAGGTATGAGCCAGGAAAGTTACACTGCTGTCTTAATAAGGTATGAGACAGGACATGCTTACTGTAGTCTGCATAAGGTATGAGTCAGAGCATTCTCGCTGCTGTCTACATGAGGTGTGAGCAGGGACATTCTCACTGAAGTCTACATAAGACATGAATAGGGACATTCTCACTGCAGTGCACATTAAGTATGTGTCAGTATTCCCACTGCAGTCTACATTATGTGACCTTGTGACACTGCAGTCTACATAGGGAAATTCTCCTTGCAGTCTACATAAAGTATGCATCCGCATTTCCACTGCAGTCTACATAAGGTATGAGTAGAGACATTCTCACTTACTTCTCCATTAGGTATGATACTGCAGATTACATAAGGTATGAGTAGGAACCTCATATTGCAGTCTACATTAAGTATGCGTGATCATTCCCACTTCTCTATACATAAGGTATGAATAGGGACGTTATCACTGCAGTGCACATTAAGTATGCATCAGTATTCCCACTGCAGTCAACATAAGGTATGAATAGGGACATTATCACTGCAGTGCACATTAAGTATGCATCAGTATTCCCACTGCAGTCTACATAAGGTATAATTAGGGACTCACTGCATGCAGTCTACATATGAATAGGGACATTTTCACTGCAGTCTACTTTAAGTATGCGTCCGCATTTCCACTGCAGTCTACATAAAGTACGAGTAGGGACATTCTCACTGCAGTCTACATTAAGTATGCGTCCGCATTTCCACTGTAGTCTACATAAAGTATGAGTAGGAACATTCTCACTTACTTCTTCATTAGGTATGATACTGCAGATTACAGTCTATACATAAGGTATGAATAGGGACGTTCTCACTGCAGTGTACATTAAATATGCGTCAGTATTACCACTGCAGTCTACATAAGGTATGAGCCAGGAAAGTTACACTGCTGTCTTGATAAGGTATGAGACAGGACATGCTTACTGTAGTCTGCATACGGTATGAGTCAGAGCATTCTCGCTGCTGTCTACATGAGGTGTGAGCAGGGACATTCTCACTGAAGTCTACATAAGACAAGAATAGGGACATTCTCACTGCAGTGCACATTAAGTATGTGTCAGTATTCCCACTGCAGTCTACATTATGTGACCTTGTGACACTGCAGTCTACATATGGAAATTCTCCTTGCAGTCTACATAAAGTATGCATCCTCCGCATTTCCACTGCAGTCTACATAAGGTATGAGTAGAGACATTCTCACTTACTTCTCCATTAGGTATGATACTGCAGATTACATAAGGTATGAGTAGGAACCTCTAATTGCAGTCTACATTAAGTATGCGTGATCATTCCCACTTCTCTATACATAAGGTATGAATAGGGACGTTATCACTGCAGTGCACATTAAGTATGCATCAGTATTCCCACTGCAGTCAACATAAGGTATGAATAGGGACATTATCACTGCAGTGCACATTAAGTATGCATCAGTATTCCCACTGCAGTCTACATAAGGTATAATTAGGGACTCACTGCATGCAGTCTACATATGAATAGGGACATTTTCACTGCAGTCTACTTTAAGTATGCGTCCGCATTTCCACTGCAGTCTACATAAAGTACGAGTAGGGACATTCTCACTGCAGTCTACATTAAGTATGCGTCCGCATTTCCACTGTAGTCTACATAAAGTATGAGTAGGAACATTCTCACTTACTTCTTCATTAGGT